GTGAGCGGATTAAGATTACAACAAACTACCTACTAGCGCAACCAAAGGGAGATACGTGCATGTTACTTCAATAAGAATATGCACACGCGCAAAACAACAACGAAATACATGCATTCTTAAGAAAAAAATAACTCTCAGACCACGCATGTTGGGGGGCAATTGTGGGGATATGGTGTGGATTAGATTGCGCGTGAACCAGCTACAACCGTGACTACGCGCGAAACGCGGATAAAAGCTCAAACCATAGCGTCAAACACAGAATACAGGAGGCGCTCACATACCACCTCCTGCTGGAGGGAAATTGTTGGGGATAAGGAGCAGAATAGAGCGCACGTAAACTGACCACAACCGCGACTACGTGCGGAATGCGGAAAAAATACACCCAACCACACATCTCAGGCATTAAGCGCCCGTGAGTATTTGCCAGCAGATTGGAACGGGCGGAACGAAGTTGTATCATTGACGAAGGCTAAAGGCTTGAAGCGTCAGGGATGATTTGCCCGCAAAATGAAACAGTCGGAACGACGTCGTACCTCTGAAACTCATAACCTCTAAAACTTAGTGTCTCACTCTTACACTCAGTTAGGCACAAACATAACTAAACTAAACAACCAACTAAGTAGTTGGAAGGTTACTAGAGATGAGATGGTTGTCTAGGATAGAATCCTAGTAGAAGGCTAGATAGTTTATTGAATTCTTTGGTCATTCCAGTGAAGAGGTTAATTATGTGGGAATCGGTGCAATGGTCATGCCTCTCGATTCCCCTCCTACCCAAGTCAACAGACACATTGTCACCTAAGCTGATCTTCTAGACGAGCGATATCATCTACCTTCTATAAATGGGTTCCACCCATCTGCACACTAGATGGGCTCCTAATTGACAAAGATGGTCACATCGTCCACCAGGTCGTATTCCACAAGGTCTTCTAATAATGACTACTCATAACCAATCACTTATGCTCAAACAAAGACAACAAAAGTAATCAATGGGTTGAGGTCCCTTATGTTTAGTGGTTTTTGACATATAACATAAAGTAAAGCATACAATAAATAACAAATAAGTAAATGATATACAGTTGAAAAGGAAGCTCATCCTAGCATGCATTTCAAACTTAATAATGCCATACAACGATGCAACTTCTCTTATGTAATCTTATTCCTTCCAATAAAGTATTTCTAATCAAGCTTTTGCCATATGCAAAACGAATTGCACCAAGCTAATGCATGCTTTTGCTTTATTTCATTAACTAATACATCAAACTAGGAATAAAAACGAGAAAGATAAAGAGGTAATTTTAAATTTTAATTTAGGTCGAATATTGTAAAAACTATGGCAAAAAATAACAATTTTTAGTTACAATCGCTAGATCAAATTATATAATCAATTTAGATATATGATGCTTTTGTACGAGGACCTAAAAATTAGTTTTTTTTTCCAACAATGAAGGTAGCGGTTATAGGTGTCAAAATACGACCCGACCCGCAACCAGAGTCGAATATAACTCGATTGGCCCGCAACTCAATTAAACTTAACCCGATTAGTTCGACTAACATGCAACCCAACTAACCAGAACCTGATTGGCTCGATGAACTATGAAATTATGTTCATATGTTATTTCAATTAATTGTTCAATATTGTGAGAAATATATTAATGTACAATTATTGAATACTCTCTAGTAGTTTTTCAACATGTTTCATCAATAATCAAATTATTGACACTCCAAACTTTAATTTATGCTATTAGTATGCTAATGTTAGGATATTTTGAATCCAAAATAATTTATTAATAAAATCAATTATGACCTACTTTTCACATTGTTTTCCAAAGTTTGAAAATAAGTTTTTTACTCTTTGTAGACCAAAAATTTGTTAGCTTCCTCCCACTTTTCTTAGAATATATCATGCATAGTCATATTTTAGTCTTCATTATGCACACGTAGTTATCATTTTTTCTAGTAGTTTTTTTAACCTAATGATAGAAACCGATCCTACTAGGGTTTCTATTGCTGTTATTATAATTAATATTAAGATTATTATTAATATGATTAGTAGTCTTTTAGTCGTATTAGGTTAATTGTTAGGTCTTTCAGTTCTTTTTCTATATATATGTACATTGTTATTCGTTTAAGAATCAATCAAGAATAATATTAGGAAAACTCTTCCAACACTAATCTCTCTCTCTATCAATGTCGTCTATCTCTTTTTTTTTTTGGTTGAAAGACAGACGCGAAGCGTCTAAATCACATTAGTGGTAAAAAGTTCATGGGAAGTTCCCATTACATCGTGGCGAAGCCATTGGACGAGGTCCAAATCACACACATTGAAAGGATGTGTGCCAAAATCAAAGTCAAGTTGCCTTGTTAGCCAAGTAATCGGCGGCAAAATTAGCTTCCCTATACACATGAGAAACCTTAACCTCCCAATCAAGGTTCAAAAAATAACTAAACTGTTTAGCCAAGCTTCCATGTCGATGGTCGTCGTTATGGCGTTGATTGATGATCTCAAGAGCAGTCGAAGAATCTAGGTTAAGCTGAATCCTCTTGTACCCTCTATGCCACGCGATCTTGAGTCCTTCCAACACACCTTTAAGTTCAGCAGCAGTGATGGAACACGAGTCAAGGTTGTAGACAAAAGCACCCTTGCATTGGCCCAAGTTGTTTCTGAACAATCCTCCAGCAGCAACTTTCCCAGTAGAAGTGATCATAGAGCCGTCAGTTTGCAGCTAGATCCATCCTTCATCAGGGGGAACCCAGCAGATCAATCTTTTGCAGCCTGCAGTCCTAATGATGTTGGATGTCTTCTGCACGTTCTGGTGTGCCTGTTCCATAATGTGGAACCAGGCTTTAGTCCTGGCAATCAAACCATTCTTGCAGAATGCGCGCCCCTCCATAGCTTCTTCATTCCTTTGTTTCCACCAGGTGCCAGATGATGATGCCAAAGTCAGTAGCACTCTCCTCCTGAGCAAGGTTGATTAGTAGCCATTCTCTTAGTGGGAGGTTCATGCTCTTAGCAGAGACTTTGCAGGGAAATGATTCCCAAACCTCCCTAGCTTTCCTGCAGTCCCTCAAAATGTGTTCTATGGATTCTTCTTTATCCTTGAAGAAGCTACAAAAGCTGTTGGTGGTGAGATTTCTTATTCTTCTTTCCTTGTTGGTCATCAGTTTGTCGTGCATGACAAGCCAGATAAAATGCTTGATTCTGCTAGGACCCTTTCGTTTCCAAAGTGCTTTCCAGCCTCTTTCTGGTTCTCCCTCCTTCTCCTCATCCTCAACAGCAAGGTTGTAAGTTGACTTCAAGCTGAACCGACCATTAGACTCCAGTCCCCAAATGTTTGTGTCTTCTCCCAAGTTTGGATTTGGGGCCTCCACACCTACCATCAAAGAAAGGATGCAATCAGGGAGGACAGTTCTAAGCTTCCCCCAGTCCCACTCACCTTCCTCAGTGACCCAGTTGGAAACAACAGAGTCTTTCTCCTCTTTAGGAACATCATCAAGAGCAAAGTCCTCAAGGATGATGTCATTGTCAATCCATGCTTGGGTCCAGAACTTCGTAGCTTGGCCATCACGGATGCTCCGCCAGGTGGCATGTTTCATCATATTCATTCCTTTGACCATGGCCTTCCACATATTGGAATGGTTGCTCTTCTTCATTGAGAGAATATCACCATTCTTCATCTTGAAATACTTCCCCTGCAGCACTTGAACCCACAGATCATCCTCCTTATTAAGCATGTTCCAGCCAAGCTTAATCATGTAAGCCATATTCATTTGTCTAGCAGATTTCAAACCCAGACCACCTTGTTCTTTAGGTTTACAGATGTTTTCCTAAGAAACAAGATGAACCTTCCTTTTTCCCTCCCCAGAACCCCACACAAATGTCGTCTATCTCTTCTTCAAAGGCCTCGACCGATTCTTTCTATTCTTGCCCAATTTCTCAATCTCGATCTTTTAATCCCTAAATCTCCAATTCTCTTCAATAATCCCTAGAATCCCAATATCAATCTCGATTCGGAACCCGATATAAAACAAGTTTCTATCACCTAACAACTTAACATTTTCTATTTAAAACATAAAATACACAAGGTTAATTTTAACATATTTTTAATGGTTAATTAAATCTTTTTTCACTTTGTTAGAGACTTTGAGTGAAATTTACAAAAGAAAATTCACTTACAATTTACCTTTATTATAAAACTACACAAATTAATTATATATTTCTAGGTTTAAGGTTAATTTTTTTTTTACAATACAACATAAGTAACTTGATGGGTTGACGTAACCTGAACTATTCGTAACCTAATTAACCCTAACCCGCTTTGCCCGTAACCAGATTAACTCGTAACCCGTTTGGCTCTTAACCTGATTAACCCATAATTTGCTTGACCCGCAACCCATTTCACTCGCGACTTGCTTGACCCGTGACCAAGGTTGTCAACCTGACCCAATTTGATCCTGACCCGGTGAGAAAAACGGGCCGCACGCACCCCCGGGTTGACCGTTGCAAGATACCGGGTTGGAGGTCAAATTGTATAATTTTTTTCGTTGGTTTGCGAAATGCGCCTATTTTCCGATTTTGCTTTACGCTTGACTCAATCTTTGGAATCCTAAGTTGAACATTTGAATATTGATGTTATATAAGTGTGTGTGAATTTTCACTATATGTTGGATCTAAGAACGACTTGCTATTTTGGTGTAATATTATAAGTTATAACTCATATGTTATATGAGATTTGATATAATTTATTAGGATAAGTACAATATAATGACTCTTCTCATATTTCCAGGCTAAGCAGAGCTAAATCGGGTGACCCATTAACCTTAACTCACGAATTCGACAGGAGTCCGAGTCAACCCGCATGTTGACAACCTTGCCCATGAACCACAATTCGATTGAATCCAATCTGAACCCGCCGATTGACCTATTGTAGTGTTGCTGCGTTGCTGGCACATGCGCACAGCTCTAAATATATATGAATTTTAATTAAAGGGTCTAATATAAAAAAAAGCAAAGAAAATTAGAGAGAGAGGCAGAGAAGAAAAAGGACAGACACGGCAAATGGCGACCTAGCTCGCCAATTCAATTACTGCTGCCACCCAACAAAACCCGGAGAGAGAGAGAGAGAGAGAGAGAGAGGGCAGAGGAAGAAAAGCAGAAGTGTCTGCAGTCGCCTCCCCGCCATTGATATTTGATCATCATCCTCTGAGCTCCTCCCTCTCCGTTTCTCTTTTCTCTCCTCCGATTTCTTCTTCCGTTGCCAGGTGATTCTTTCTTATCCCAACTCGGCTGCCGTTCCTGCGTCTTTGTGCTTGCCAGTTTTGCAGTATCTTTGGCTGGCCGCGCGCAAGAATTCCCCTTGACCTACTCCTCCAATCTTCCTCTCCCACTCTGTTTTCATCATCTTCTTCGTCTCGTTTGATTGATTGACTGAATCGCAACATAGTCATGTCTGGCTTGTACGCCCACAATTTCTCACCATCTACTGCAACTCCACCGCCATCTGCCGCCGCCGCCGCTTCACCTCATCATCATCTTCCTCATCACCACCATCACCTTCCTAATCTTGATAACATCTCCAGGTACCGTAGTAATCCGTCCTCGATTCTCTTCTTCCTCTCCTGGCTTTGTGACTTGTGTATGTATGTATGTATCTGTGATTAAGCCGGCCGCCTCTTTTATAATCAGTGTTCAGCAGCGACAGTTTTTGGCAGAGCTGTTGGAAGAGCACGACAAGCTCGGCCCTTTCATGGAGGTCCTTCCAATCTCCACCCGCCTTCTGAATCAAGGTCCCTTTCCCTCTCGATGTTCAATTCTAGTATGCCAATCTCCGATTAAATCTTACCAGCTGCTTGCTTTATGTGACCTGTTGAGTTGCCTTGCCTGCCGCGGTCCCCCAAAGAACAAACATCCATCTCTACATCGTTTCAATTGTGATTAAGTGAACGAAATCTCTCTTTTTCTTGCTCTTATCTCATGTAAGCAGAGATATTAAGGGTTTCTGGAATTGTCCCCAGCCAGCACCAGGGGCTCAGCCTCTATGGAACGCTTCAGCATCGCCCGTCCTTAAGCCCTCGCCTGAGTGACGAATCTTCATGGAATTCCCTGCCTCGCCAGGTAAGTCATTTGAAAACCTCATTGCTCCTGCCTTTATTAAACCATGGGTTTGTTGGCTGGTTCATTTGAGTAACCACTGGGTTGTTTCTTAAATTTGAAAAATGGTCTTGGATGTGGCAGCGATTGGGAGCAGAAGGGGTGAATATGGACTGGCAAGCTGCACCAACGAGCCCAAATTCTTATATCGTGAAGAAGATATTACGTTTGGATATTCCGGTCGATAATTTTCCAAATGTAAGTTAGCTACCTATCTTGGATCGCTACTGCAGTACATATAATTTGGTATCTGAAATCTACCTCTACTAAATGTTGAGATTTTTCTTCACAATCTGAGCATGCATCTAACAAGTCCGATAATTCTTGTGTTTGTGGAACTCTGAAGTTCAATTTTGTAGGTCGCCTCCTGGGGCCTAGGGGGAACTCACTAAAGCGCGTGGAAGCCACAACTGGTTGCCGTGTCTACATTAGAGGAAAGGGCTCGATAAAGGATGCTGAGAAGGTAACGAATCCTATATGTGCAATGGACTTGATATGTGTGATTGTAAAATCACCTAAATGATAAATGCTCACATAGTTGTTATCCAACCTCTTGGCAAGTGTACATCGGTTGGGCAACCTTTTGCAGCTCGGGTATGAGGACTAACTTTTCTTTCTATTTGAAATTTTGAAATGGATATCTAATTAACTATCATCATCTTCTATTGTTGTACTTTCGACTTGCACCATTTTTGTAACCAAGTTTCTCTTTAGATGGCTTTGGCTTATTCTATAATGAAAGTCACTATCTTTAAAAAAGCCTCTTCGCAAGTGAGGTTGGATATGTTAGTGTTACTTCTTCTTGCTTAAGCTGTTGTGCATTGGGTTACTTTCAACTGTTAGGTAGTTGCATTGATGTTTGCTTTGCTCTCTACTATTGGACATGTCAGGAGGATGCATTGAGGGGGAGACCAGGATATGAGCATTTGAGCGAGCCTCTTCACATTTTAATCGAGGCTGAATTACCAGTTAATATCGTGGACATGCGATTGAGACAAGCCAGGGAGATCATAGAAGAAGTGCTTAGACCTGTGGTATATGAATACTACTGATTCTTCATTCTATTTTGTTGACCCATGTTAAATTTTGACTTGCATTACATTGGGGCCTTCATTAGCTACCCTTGTGTCATCTGCTAACTGGAGCCCCACCTGTAGCTTTTGCAACTAATTATCTGTTCCATGTGTATATACATTCATTGAATTCTGGACAGGAAGAGGCGCAGGATCTGTATAAGAGACAACAACTGAGGGAGCTAGCACTGCTCAACTCCAGTCACAGGGAAGAAAGCCCTGGACCAAGTGGTGGTAGCGTCTCTCCTTTCTCGTCAAATATTATTGGAATGAAGCGTGCTAAAATGGGTCAGTAGTGTTTGCTGTGACCGAACTTGATTGCTATCGCCAAGATACTCGGTCATTCATCATCGAATGTTATTGCCAATTGAGCTGTCTATTCTTGTGTCTATATCATATGGTTTTGGAGGGGCGAATAATGCTTTGTTCATGCTGTGGTGTTAATGTTATTTTTGGGAAGCTAGAGATAGGTTACAGATTACAACTGGGGAAACATAAAACATTGGCGAGGGAGTTTGTGGTTGGGAATAGGAAATTGAGGCTATAGGAATTCTTTTTTATTTGATTTGCATATACTGCTGTTGCTGGTGAGCAATTATTTGGATTGATTTCAGTAAGTGAAAAAGTTATCTTGTTATTCTTTTGTTTGAAGGTTTGGATTAACAATTATGTTGGATTGCAGCACAATTCTTACTCGTAGGAAACCCTTGCCTCTAAAGTAGTTGTGTAAGTGGTAGATTTGGTACCAGAGCCGACAGCTATACCCGGCAGGGCAACGGCATGACTGATTCTAAATCTGGGAATTCTCTACTCTTTGGCTGCAACCATCGACATTGCCCTCTGCCACACAAGGTTGTCAAACCGGTGAAGCAGGTGATATGATATGACCGATAATACAATCTGTTTATTCTGGGTTTTAATAAAAATACATGGATAAGTGAAAAAAAAACCCCATAAACCTAATCAATTAATTCGGAAAAATCAATTATACGAGTTAATTCACAAAATAATTTAATTTATCTTTAGAAATTACCAATTGATAGTAAATAATTAAGAGATAAAAATAAAATATGTAAAATAAATGTATTCATGTTTACATTAATTTGTGTAAGTATAGCATTAGTTAGATAATATATAAGGTTTATAAGTATCACAAAATTCATTGTAGCTTATTGGTATACAATTGAAGCTATTAAACACTAGTTTCTTAACTGGCCTGTTGGCTGAAGAATTTAATTTTATCAATTATATAAGTCAATTTATCTATATATTTAAAATCTTGTGTATCTTGTAGATATTTTATGCTCTTTGCTTCATTCGTGAGTATGCGGTATGTCTACGTTGAAAATTATTAATACTTAGTAGTTAGCACATTCGCTTATTATGATGTTTTGATTCTCTAATCATAAATCTTGCCATGAAGGTTTATCACACCCATTTACAATTGTATATCGAAATTTGTCAATCAAGACACTTAAATTTGTTTTTTTATGGTTCACTCAAATTTGTTATCTTATACAACAGATATCAATTTGTGATTCTCTCGAGTTTAGACTAACTCTCAACCAATTATTTAGAGTTCAGATTATTGTATAAAGATACATGATTATTGAGTCACTTTTGTTTCTCCCAATTTGATCTTGAAACTCATTGTACTCCTTATGATGGTTAAATTTTCTAATATTCACTTATTTGCGTTGTCGATGTTCATGAAGTCTCGGTATAGGGTCCTATGATAAAATTTGTCTATCAAGACACTCAAATTTAGTATGTTGTACATATGGGGTGGAGGTTCGGTTAACGATTACTAGTAAATCGGTCTGTTAAATCGATAATCGGTCGGTTATCCACTAATCAGTAATTGATATAACCGAAATTTGGTCAGTTTTCGGAGGCTGGACGAGATGGTTTTGGTCTTGGAGGCGGCACGGTTAACCGATAACCAAGATAACCGAGATAATCGAAGCCTATTTTGGTCGATTGTTGGTTGGGGGGGGGGGGATCGACCTTTCGATTAACCAATAATCTACCGATCGATTATCGGTTATAACCGAAAGTAATCGATCGCCATCCCTAGTTATACAATATATATCAATTTTTTATTTTTGAAGCTTGGACTAACCCTCAACCCATGGTCATGGTGGTTGTCTAAATATTGGCTTAGAATCTCAATCAAATACACTCACCTACACTATCGAGGGTTCTTGTCAAAACTTGTCCTTTAACGTATAATTTGACAACTTTTTGAATGTTATTTGTTAAAATTTTATTAACTTTGGTGTTTGTTCACAAAAAAATTCATAGCTTATATTAATAATTGATGAAGTGTTTGTTCACTTGCAAACCGACTCACCCGTCCAACCTAACACATCCCACCCGTATTTATTGTCAAAATTCAAGTTTAAACTTGGGTGAGGGTTTACTACTTTACTTTTGTACAACTCGCCTCTATTGGGTTGGGTGCAGATTTTGGATAACACAACCCGTAGAATCTGACCGTACCCTTGTTGAACTACGGTCACAAGTGTTCTTATCAAAACATATTTGTTCGAAAATTAACCTATTTAGTCATATTTTTCTATCAAAACATATTTGTTCGAAAATGAACCTATTTAGTCATATTTTTCTCTTGTGGTTTCACTAGCCCAATACATTCTTCAACTTAGTAATTAGATGTAGATTTAGTATAAGTTACAATTCACGTAATCTTTTTCTTGTGTACAATTTTGGAAGATTAATATATTATGAATGTGTTAGCTTATAACCACTTTAGCTTATTTCGACAAATATTTATGAAAAAAACTAGATATATGTTGAAGTAAATTGCATTTCATTAAAATTCAAAACAACATTTATGCATATTGAACTTTTCTCCTCGATTTATTTGTTTAAAATTTTAATTAGTTATATTGATAACACCTATATTGGTGTTATTTACCCTTCATATTTTAGTTTTTTTCGTGCATATTTGTGGGCACAATCGGAAGAATATCATTGATTGCATTCCCATTTCGTTCCTTTTTTATCATGTTGTCTTTCTATGGTGTTTTACACGATACATGTGAATTAGGTACGAAAAAGGACACAAATGTAGAGAAATGGGCAAGAATATTGTGTAGAAGCAAGGAAAGAAGTCAGAAATTACAAAGACTGCAAGGGCACAAGTTCTCGACCGAGAGGCAAGACCGCGAAGTTTCTTTAGAGATCGCTGGACAAGATCGAAGGGTTCCGTCCGCGAATCGGAGCTCTTGGACCTCGAACTTCAATAGTTAGCACGTTTCAGTAACTACCCCATCCTAGGCCAAGTTTAACCTAGAGTGACGTTGTCATATAGTGCCAATCAAGGTCGTATTCACTCGACTCCCGGTATACTTCCCACGTTGTTATCTAGCCGATCGGTTTAAGGGTTTGTGTTGGAGGATTCAAGCGAACTAACAAGTAAAGAGAGTAAATAAGGATAAAATTAAAGCAGGTACTTCGAGGAACTATCTCTCACCCTAGCCTAGGTCTACTATGCAATGTCTAGATAAGTAGGGTTTGTCAAATGTGGTGAGTGAGCTCTTTTCCGTGCACTTTCGTGGTTATCCAAACGTCTCTCCTAAATCCATGTCAGTCACCTCGAGCTAGCCTATCGTATCTGGGGCACTAAGAACATAGCTCATTTCAATGGGTACTACCCACCGTCCACACTGAGGTTTCATCCTCAGTTCTATCTAAGAAGGCATTCTTATGGCAGGGGTACGATCGTTTCGACCACCATTATTAGATCCTATTCATTCATATAACCTAATTTGCTTGATGGCGCATACCCGTATAACCCTAAAACTCCATACCCGACGTAGAAGCTCAAGTAGGCTAGTAGAGAAGATTAGAGCAACTTACCCATACAAAATCAAAGCTAGAGAAACAATGAAATCAACTAGATAAACACATTCATTCATTAAAACTCTAAAATATCCATTCATTACATAGTAATCCTAAAACTAGGGTTTGGGGTTTAGAAACCCTAGTACCTTAGAAGCCTACTCCATAAAGGAGGAAAGAAGATACATAGAAGAATTCTACAAAAAAAAAAAAAAAAGATACATAGAATAAATTGGGGAAGACTTGATTTTGAGGAATATGGCTCCTCTCTTCTAGCTCCTCCTCCTTCTTCACCTCTTCTCCTTCCGTTAGCTTCTCTATCTTCTTTTTCTCTCTAACTAGAAATTCTATCTCAAAATCAATTTTCTGGAATGGGGGAAGGGGGTTTTCTATTTGCAGAATTCAGAGGTCGGAGAAGCGTGGTCAGGCGGTATGAAGATCGCGGTCGCGATCTTCTTCCTTGAGGTCGTGATATGCCAACGCCGCCGTTTTGGCCTTCAAGCACGAGGGGTTCTCTGGTTGACTTCATGGTCGCGATCCGTGAAGCACGACCACGAACTTACTCGCGGTCAATGTGAATTGTGGCCGTGATCAGACTAGGTAAACTCTCTGTTTCTCCTTGCTGGCTTTCATGAAGTTCGCATCCCTCAGCCTCCAAGATCGCGACCCCGATCTTAGGTTTTCAGGCCATGATCTTTGTCGTGAGTTCGCAGTCTGTTTTCTCGACTGTGATCTCCATCTCCAGGCCGCGATCATCAACATTTTGCCCCTTTTTCTACACTTGTGCCATTTTCCATACCTAATTCGCATGTATTGTTTAAAGCACCCTAAAATCATATCATAATCAAATAGGAATGAAATAGGGATGCAATTGACGCTATTCAAATGATTGTGCACATGAATTAGCATGAAATAAACATACTTATAGAGGGTAAATAACACTAATTTATGTGTTATCAGTTTGCTTGGGGACATGAAAACAGTTAAGTGTGGGAGAGTTTCATTCAGGCGTAATTACACTTGTCTTACTCTTCATATCTTGATTGCTTCACTTGGTGATCATTGTTCCTATGACTATTTCACACTAGAATGTGTTTTATTTGTCGCATTTACGGTCTTAGTACTTGGGGGAGCTTATAATCAAGTTCTGGGGCATTTGGAGGTAAAAAAGAGCAAAAAAATAGAGGTGCCAAAGTCACGACCAGAGTGCCAAAGTGACGACCTGTTTGTGACATGTGTAGAAGTGGCAGTGAGATGATAAATTTTCTAGCAGAAATGTTCAATGTCAGGACCAGAGTGTCAAAGCCACGACCTGGTCGAGTTTGATTCGGTCCATTCTATACATATTTTGACACCTTTGACTTGGTTGCTTGACTTGTTTAACATCGTACTTTGAGCTATTTTACGCTGGTTTTGGAATGTTTTAGTATGTTTTAGTCCATAACAGGTAAAATGGGGGAAATGATAAAAAGTTGGATGAAAGGGATCGAAAAGGGGGAAAATCAATGAAAAGTGCACAAATCACAGTTTGGAAGGGATTATCACGAGCAGCAGACCGTGAAGATTACAAAGAGGCACTACAAGAAACAACAACTTTTACGACGGACAAATTCGTCGCAAAAAGTCCAAAAATTCATCGCTAAAGGGTACTGTGATGAAAGTGATCGTCGCCATAAGAAACCTTCACCCATCGCGTATACTGCGTCGCCAAAGGTTTTCGCGACGGAAACTTGTGTTTCGTCGCCCATACTATCCTCCGTCTCTAAAGATGGAGGCTTCTGCGACGCATGGTATCGTCTCCAATCCGACTGATTCGGTGACGAATTATATCGGGGCACAAAACTTTAGCAACGAACTTCCAAGAGCTACTTCCGGGATCTTTCGTGTGCCTCGCGGGCAAAGTAAAGATCACGGTCTCATACCGTGAAGTCAAAGAGGAGAGTTGAGAGTGAGATTGGGTTTCTTCCTCCACAATATAGAGAGAGAAAGCTACAAACAGGAGAGAAAGTGAAGGTGGATTTGATCTACTCAAGCCATCTAGAGGCCAGATTTCATCTTCAGATATCCATGCGAGCCACTAGGAAGAAGAATAATCAAGTTCCCATGAGTCTCCCCCCTTCTTTTCTAGTTGTTGTTCTTTCTCTACCTATGGAGTAGTTTCTCTTTTCACTTAGTTGATGTGAACCCTAGTCTAGGATATTTAATATTGTAGATTGATGTTTGTGAACTCTACGTGATGATGGCTATGTTTAATTATATATTGATTGAGGATTTTTCATGCAAATTGAGTGTTCTTGATAAAATCTCTGAACGTTATGGCAAATTGACCTAATAGAGAGAAGATCTCCTTATGACAATTTGGGTCACTATTCAATCAACTTAGGGAGCCATGATTTATAGTGATTGGTGTCTTTACGGAGTTCCGAGTCAATGCCCGAGGGACTAGATGTGGTTGCCCTAGTCTTCTATTTTGATATTATGGTATGCAAAGTGTTATTAAAGTCGAACCGAGTAGGTAACCAGTACAGTTCGGGTGACTGCTGTGAATGCTTGTTAGCAACCGACCGGTTGTCCAATCGGTTAATCGCCAGAACCGGACGAACTAGCAATGTAATTCAAAGTCTTCAGGAGGAAAGTTTGAAATTTGAATATAAATTAATGACCCAACTGAATAGTGAATACCTATTTGTATTGCAACATTGGTAATGGGACATTTTAATTAATCCCACCTATAAATTACCCCCATTAAGTTCCCACCCACATTAAGTTTATGTTAGCGGTCAAAAGAATTAAATTGTCCCTAATCTAATCCCTATCAAAGTCTTTTCTTATTAGATAATAAAATTCATATAAAATCTTCCATATTTGGGTCTTTCTCCTTTTAGGAACTTTAATTATTAATTAATATTTATATCTATTAAGATTTAGAATTTTAGAACTAAAATGAAAAATTGATTAATTTAAGGTTTAGTGTATTATTTTTTTTAAGAAAATGGTTTAGTGTATTATTATTTATAATCTAGTTACAATATTCTTATTTATGAGTCACTGGTTTGTTAACAGTTTTTTCACGGTTTGATATCGTTGATCAATAAATTGTGAACCACTTCACTAAACTGGTTCATACACCGGTTCATTTCTGACAATATTGGGTAAGTCCCTCCAATTAGATCGATTAGGCGGGTTAGGATGCACTCAAATAGAGGGTCTGATAGACCATTAATTGCACATGTTTATACCTCCATTTTTGAGCCGTTTGAGAGTCGATTCTCGTGTTTTAAGCCGATTTCACGCTAGGTTATGCGTTTATGTCATATTTCAGGACT